CTGGCAGATTCTTTGCAATATGATGTAAATATAAGACATTCTAAACGATTAGGTTTAGAATTTTTGGTACGTGAATGTGAGGATTGCTCTTTTGATTCCTGGCATTCTTAACGTGGTATAAATCTCCTCGTAATGCCTGAAATTATCCTCAAATGTGATCAATATATGGGCAATTTATAAATCCCCTGCAGAGTTACCTCTTGGGATCCCTAATGCCCATTGGTATGTTGGGGTGGTGATATGGGGATATGAAAACATACTCGATGCGCAGATAGGAAATGTTTGACTGCGGCCAAAGTTTCATGTACATACTGCAACTAAGGGAGTTGTAAAAGTGCAGCTTGATGAATTTGAATTAACGATGCGGTGTGTAAGGCCGCATGAAAATAGCTTAGTTCTGGTAAATTATAATTCTATTTTAATATGTCAGGCAATCTGATTCTCAATAAGAGACTCAATAAAACCATTATTGGTATGGACGTAAGGTACTTGATATATAGTATAAAAAACAAAACTGTTCCATATAAAATGAATTTGATCCCACATCCAAGATAATTTGCTCTAAATTGAAGATTTCGAGCAATGAGTTTGGTATAGTGATGGTTCTCATGACTAAGAGACACACCTGTGACTTTATTATGAATGCATAAATGTGCATTACATAGTATCTTTATGGTCCATAAAATGGTAAATAGAGTCACATGTATGTTCTTGAATTTCTTCAAGAAATATAGTGGCTCATATTGATGCTATGACCAATAGAATTGACAATAATTCTCAAGTTATATCTATAGTTCAATAACCAGGGCAAATGTGCCAAGTCTTATTGACATCAAGAGAGAGAATTATTTATACGCAACATTGGATACATGTTATGTATATGTAGTCAAATACAATTGAGGATGTTTTGTTTAAGTATTGCCATATCCGTTGTTAACAGAAAAATACTCCTCTTAGTTGTCATCTTGGGGTTTTCATATGAAAACCACATTGACGGATATCTCTATAATTTTAACAGGGTATATTATGGAATCAGAATACAAGAATGGATTCATGATTATTATTTGAGTATCAATATGGAGTATAATAGTAGCACGACCAAAGCCCACTATCATGACATCGCGTCATGCGATTAACAAAATATTTCCTTGTCTCTATGTAAGAGTTTAGGAATATTTTGCTTCCCTATGTATAGAGTTTGTAATGCAACTATCCACTAAGCAAAATTCCTCTTTGCATTTGGATTGACTCTCGTATAGGTCTATATATAGCATGAAGAATATAATGACATTCTTTGCAAATATATAGATTACATACAAGTTAATTAATGGAATATCAAATGTGATGGCACATTATTGTGATATTCAATTAAAATTGATGATAACATTTTATATTACAACACCAAAATGGGACGAATATACTAGGTATCTTTGTAAATGGAAGACAAATTTGGTCTCCAAAATTGATCAAGCGAAGTAAATTCGATGATCGTGCTCTCCATATTCATAAGACCCACTTATTAATTAAGTGTTTGGTTGCTACTTGGTTTCTTCATAAAACTTGTTGTGAACAACTAGCCTTCCTGGTGGTGTTAGGTTGAAGATAGAAGTGTGCTTCATATCTTTATTGTTGAGCCGGATATTTATGTCCAATAGATTTGTAATACCGATCAATTAAATGTTTCAAGGCATGACATTTTTAAGTTGTGTGGCTGTAACATACACAATTGGGACAAAATATGGTTGTCATATTTGGGAAATGCCTTAACCCTAAAGAATTCACGGGGCTGCTACTTCTTTTTGCGTTAAATCTTACCATTAAAGTTCTATGGATGGCATTACTACATGACATCGAACTTGTAATGATTCTGAAAATTCAATGTACTTCAGATGATAGAGCATCACTATAATACTAATGATGATTTCTCGATAAGAGTTTATCATACACTTAGACCTAAAGTAATGTAGGAATTAATCTAGAATACATTTGATAAGTTGTGTGCTTTCGCAGAAACGCAATGTCGGAGGATATTTTGGAACAACATAATTATATTCTCAAGTGGACTTAAGATCCTAGAAATAAAGTTGTGGCCAATCATAGTTGGCATTGGACAGAATGACTGCCTTGTGTTGTTCGTATCACTCATTGAAAACTAGCCATATAGTGCTTCGATTTGCATCCATCGAGATACACATATGTGTGTTCTGGATATGTATGGTGCTTTATTTAAAATAAAACTCCATACTTAATTGTTCAGTAAGCGGTGATGCTCTCTTACGAGGAGCACCAAGTATATTTTGCTATGAATCCATAGAACAATAAAGTTTAACTTTACGTCCATTGGTCATGTTGGATAATGGTGATCATCAAAAGCAAGAGATCAAACTCTTTGCTAGCTATTATTCTAACAAGGTTTAAACCATAGATTTTCTGAATTTGCGCTAAGGGTAAATTTAAAATTGCTATGGTGATGCTGTATTAATTAATGCAAAATAAATAGAAGACGAGATCTATCTCACTAATAGTGTAAACCTCATTTATGCTAAGACATTAGAGGTAGTCATCATAAAGATGTAGACCTCTAATAATATGGACACAGTCTATTGAACAATAGATGCCAAGTGGTGTATGCAATTTGTATAAACACAATTTAAGGTAATCATCAAAAGATTAATGTAGACCTTAGTTAATCCGTAAACGAATTAGGTACGCACGTTGAGGATAGTCACTAAGTTGTGGACTTAGTGTAGATCTCGCAGTAGCAAGTATGGTGCTACCTTGTGTATGGCCAATAGAAATGCTGATTAATAGTAGTCATCTTGTGAAAAGATGTAGACCGTATGTTTCAATTTGTGATGTTGGGTGCGCACATTGAGGATAGTCACTAAGAATTTAGTGTAGATCCCGACAGTAGCAACTATGGCGCTACCTTGTATATGGCCAACATACAATGTGGAACACTTGTGTTATACAAATAATGAGGCAATGCACTTAATCGATTTTGCATTAAAAATATAAGCACTATGAGCTTTAAATAATAAAGCTTAAAAAGGCTTAACATGAAATGAAAATTGCAAATAACAAAGTAATTACAATAATAAGGTCATGATAGTAATACTACATGTTTATTGGGTTTGCCATTTTGGACAAACACTTTGAACAATGTAATGATTATACTACATGTTTATTAGGTTTGCCAATTTGGACAAACACTTTAAACATGCAATGTTAATAGCACATGTTTATTGGGTTTGCTAATTTGGACAAACGCTTTGAACAATACTAAAAATTCCAGAAAACATATGATTTGGAAAGCGAATTTATAGTGGTAAATTCATCTGCAGCAGTACATGTCATGATGCAATTCTTGATGACACATGGGTCTCAAAAATACTTATTTACATGATGCAAACATTGTGCATCATAATTCATTTAAACATATGTTTAAAATGAAATATTTACATCAGGTAAATATAGTACAATGCAGTTCTGTTAAAACCTGAGGGTTAAAACATAAATCTGGTTAAAACATAAATCTGGAATATATTAATAATCCATTTGGACTATCATGAAATTCACAGAAATAAGGGGGGGGGTTTGTGCATTTCTGCACAACCTTATCCAATGCACGGAGGAACGGACGGTTTTCCCGTCGGTCGCGTCTCTTGGCCTCCGGGCAGGCGCCTCTCGGCCGCTTCCATGGTGACCGGCCGCTGCCGGGCTAGCCTCTAGCCGCCGGCGCAAGGCCGCAGCGAGGCGTGGGCGCGGGAACCGCCGGCCGCTGCGCGCGAGGCGCAGGCGCGGGGCCGCCAGCCGTCCAGGTCGCTGCCACGGGAAGGCCGGCCACTGCCGGGCTGGCATCCGGCCGCCGTAGCGAGGCGCGGGAGGAGGTGCGCGACGTCTCCGGCAGCAAGCTCATTGCCATGGCTGCGGTTCTAGCCGCCTCGAGCGCAGGAAGGCAGGCCACTAGCGCTGGCCGCAGGGGCGCGGAGCCACGAGCCGTCGGGCGCGTGAGGCGAGGACAGGACCGCCTCCTTCGGGCGCAGGGGCCGCGGGCGTGAGGCCGCAGGTGTGGGGCCTCTGGCCGCGGAGTCTAGCCGGCCGTGGCACGGGAAACGACAGTCACAGGGCTCGCAGCGGGGCGCGGGCCGGAGAAACCGGCCGTGGCGCAAGGCCGTAGGCGCGGGCCGCCAGCCACCATCGCCATGTGCGCGTAGGCACCCGTGGGCTGTGACCAGCCTGGTGTGCGGATCCACCGCGGCTGGTTGTGCGCACAGGCCACACGGCTGGCCGGCGCGCGCAATCGCCATCGGCGTAGCCTACAGACGGGCGCGGCAACTCCCACCGTCCGGATGTGTCCGATGCTGGTGAGGGTAAAATCGGAGGGCAGTATCTACCGATTTCTTAGAGAGGTACGAACATCTCAAATTGGGGGAAAAAACATCGGTACATACCGTTCTTGGATTGAGGCTTGCAATCCACGTTTCTTTTCCCTTCGTTCTTCGACGTAGGCCTCTTCTCGAACCCTTCCCAGAGAAAGGAGTTCTTGCAGCGGAGACGGCGTGGGAGAATATGCATCACCGGCATCGTCATCCTCCTGCCTTCTTGATCGTAAAGCAAAGTGCTGATAACGTGTTAAAGCGTGAATGTAAATGAACAAGATTTGAAGAACTGTTGCTTTCATTGATCTCGAAAATATATTTATACAAGTAGAGATGTGTCACGAAGGGACACGATTGTTCTCAAAAGACATGCCATCTGAAACTAAAATTAACTGTTTAATTCTATCCATTAATCATGTGCTTGATGGATGAGATCACTCGTGAAGAGACGTATATTCGTCTGTAGATGTTCGTCGCGTATAGGTGTCGTTTCACAACTATGTCCATCCTTCGGTATGAAAAAATATAGTGCCAGCAACGCTCCAACACAAGCAGTACCTACTCATCAGCAACAATATATATAACCGCTAGCCGGCTCTAGCGAATCCCAGTATCCTGATGGCTCAGCTCGGACTTGCTGTTGCTGGCAGCCTTTCTGGTGCTGCTCCTGCAGCAGGAAAGAAGACGGCCTCACCACCTCCAAAAGGCGGAGAACCGACTATGAACCGGCAATCAGCTAAAGATGAGGAAGTGGTTGCCCAGTTTGTGGGTGCGCGGAAGATGGGAGACGATGCCGGGAACGTTGCAGAGGTGGAGGGGGAGAGCAAGAGGAAGAGAGCTCCCTGGTGCATCACTTCCCCTTCCATTCCCGCCCTGGACTGCTATGAGTCTGTGACTTCAGCCAGCTCGTTTGCTTTGCATCACCAATTCCATTTCTTCTGTCTTGTTTGGACATCGAGTGCTTGTAAAGTAATGCTATTACTCTTTGGAAGATGGAGAGAAGTTTAGCATGTAGGCAGAGATTGTTGTGTAAGCAGGCATGCATCTAGCCTCTGATCACTTAGAGGTGATGCTTTGTTTTCCCAAGGTTATTGTGTGCTTGGTCTTCAATATTTGCCCCCTCTTTTCCTTATTAGTTGGTGTGGTATTGTGGTCTCTTTTTCTTATTACTCCCACACACACATTTCACTGTCCAAACTTTCAAAGATCATACATTGTTGTGATAAACACTATGCTAAGGAAAAAAATCAGCAATCTAGTTTAGTTAAACAATTCAGATACCAAATTCTAATGATGGAATGATCTGACCTACTATTCTGTTAATATCTAATGTGAAAATTAAAGGGTTTATCCATTCCTAGGATCAGGGGGAATAAAAGTTTTATTTCAAGGCATAGTAATATGGCTCAAAATGTTATTCGTGAGCAGTATTGTGGCGAAGGTAAAAAAAAAGTGACATGTACTGCAGGAAACTATAGTTGAAAGAAAGGATGATATAACAGAAGGTGAGAAATAAAAAAAAAAAACAGGGTGCATAAAAGGAAATCGCAATCCCAACAAACCATCTTCACAATCATGATAACTGTTCTCGCTTTCCAAATGGTGAATCTATTAGAGTTGGTGCCCTTAGGTGCTTGATCATAGTAGCCAATCTGCCAATAAGGTGAAAGTACAGTAAGACATTCTTGAAGTACCAATATCATTTAACATAAGTTCATGAGATGTACAGTTAAAGAATGCTTAGTTTCTATATGTGCAGCGTCCTCAGAAAACTGTATTTACCTATCTTTCATTCAAAAACTTCACAATGCCCATCTGATCAAATTCAGACAAGAGCTCTCCTGACCCAGGATTAAAAAAACAATGCACAGAAGACAACTTGATGGCAGCTTGACAAGCAAGGGGATGCCGAGCTGAGCTCAACCGCCTCAAATTAAGTATACTAGCATACATTTGGGGAGTGTAATTCAATTCTGAGTCTGACTCCAGTCTCCAGATTTACATGCGGTCAATAACATGCTACATGCTACATGCCCTAAACTCTATGAAGTTGCAAACATCTGTCATCTGAATTGCATTCAAATGGACAGAACTGAATTCTAGTAAATGGTACCAATCTGTGCATAGCTACCACATATTTGAGTTTTCCTCTTTAATTTTTGCTAGTTTTGCATTTATGAGCTTATCTAATATGGGGGGCTCAAGAGGGATTGGGTCAAGACATCGCTCGTGGGCAGCATTGTTCACCTGCAGAGATATGAAGATCTGAGTTACAGGTAAGCACAATACGGAACAATTACACAGAAGCGCAGTTTTGACTGGTTCGAGGCAAAATTAACCGGTGGAAAGTTGAAATGTATAGTGGCAGTATCTGACCTCTTTGAGTAAAAAGCTGATAGCTGCTTCATCATCCACAAATTCCTTAAGGGAGGTCTTGAGAAATTCCATATCCAGCTGAATCTGCTGAAATCCACTTCTGTTGAAAGTCTGAAGACGGACAAATTCTTGCAAGCTTTTCAGGCAGAGCTTGAGGACAGTACAAATAACAGATTCCTGAAATTTACCCAGAATACAAGGAATTACAGTCAAAAGCGGCTAAGTGATGTTCCTGTAGACGGAAGAAAAATATACTTGAACTATAGCATATCTCCCTAATAGCATCACAAAATTCAATTGATAAGCTGCTCTATGACCTCAATCAGATAATGCATTCTAAAAACTATGATGCAGTTGGCATTGATGTGGATTTTACGAGAATCTGTGGGATTTGCAGTAACATAACAAGTGTTACGAGAGCCCAAAAGGCCAAAAGTGGAGGCGACTGATTCTGATACTTGGGTAAATCAGCAGGTTTTATTTTTGCCTATTTATTTTGAAAAACTTGGGATATAAACTAGATGAGCATTCAAGCCTATTGGTATGTCCATTCACTCCGTTGATTTTAAAAGGGGCTCAGATGGTTAAGAGGGAGAAGCATAGAAGAATAGACTCCAAAAATTATCATGCCATTCCAACTGGGACAAGCTCATATGACTGCAATGTTAATTACAAGTTGTTAAAATACTACTTAAAATGTTGACAATTTTTTTTTGCCAGGATCAATAAATCTCACAGCATAGTGCAGTATATTCCTGCAACCTAATGAAACTTCAATTTAGTCATCAAGTGAAAAAGGAAATGGAGGCAGAGATCATAAATACTACATGATGCACAAATGTGATCAGGTTATACAAGTCTATAGTAGTCTCACTGAATAGGTGATCCTTTAGCAATTCTCCTGGATAACATTATAGCATAACTATAAGTTTGTTATATTCAACTTGTCACAAGAGCACAAGTAAATAAAAATATTCCTCTCAGCTGTTGGAAATAACTAATTTCCTGAGCAAGTATGCGATGCACTTGAGAAAATTCTGACAACAGCAAAACTATCAACACATACAATAAGAATGTGTATTCAAATCTTTCAACTTCTGTTATAACCCATATAACTACAAGATCACCATTGTGATTACTGATGCAGTATTATGTCCCTTGTCCAAATATTTAACAAGCTAAAAGATTAATGAAACCAAAAGCTGATAACAACTTTTTACATCTAAAAGGAAAGGGAAGTAGTTAATTCTGGGAGATTACCTGTGTGTATTCAACTTTGGTGAATATTTCCATTTTCTGCTCGAATAACTTTGCCAGGTGGTTTTCTAAAAACTGACTTCTAGCACGATGTGTGTTTGATCGGTTCAACATGTCTTCTCGCATTGGATTGCTTCTGGAGGAAGTCGTGCTACCAGTGCTATCAGAATGCCGATGTCGCCGAACTATACCAGGTAAGATCTGCTTGACTTCAGATACCACACCATTGATCTAAAAGAAAAATGATGACCGTTTACTTAGAGAAAACTTTAGAACCAGAATTTCCAGTAAGGGCCTGTTTGGTTACCCTCTACTAAAATTTAGCTACTAAACTTTAGTCACTTTAGCTACTAAATTGCCAAACAAACTGACTAAAAAGGGACTAAAGTAGTTTAGTCACATTAGTCACCCAAGAGTAGCTAAAAGTGGGCTAAAGTGCCCAGTGGACAAGGGCTGCCCCTCATTATTGCTTGTCCCCATCCCTGATTTGGGTATTCATTAGGGGTAGTTTGGTCTTTGTTGAACTGTTTTAATGGCCTTTAGTCACTTTTAGTCACTAGAATCAAACAGGAGTGACTAAAGTTTAGTCATTGGTTTTAGTAGCTAAATTTTAGTCATGGGAAACCAAACAGGGGTTAAGAACTCATTTTCTGAAAGCAGACTCCAATACCTAAATTGGCATGGTACTGCATGCTCAATTATGAATTTGTAGCCATACTAGCATTATAAGTATACATAATGCAATAGGAAAAGGAACTGGACAAACCTCTAGGAGAAGTAGATCAACAAACATGTTCACTTCCCTAGGTTCCTTGTGCTGTTTTAGTTGAACATATAAAGAAAAAGGAAATGCAAATCTGAGCAACAAAACCAGAAAAAAGCAAAATCACCGAATATTCTGTTGAATACAAAGGCTAACCTTAATCCAAACCGGTGTTGTAAATCGCTTATTAAGAAGTTTAGAGATCTTCTGAGTCTTCATATTTATGTACTGCACCAAGGAACACAACATTCAGTTATTGATACTGCCAGATCAACTTTTTTTTTAAAATGTACAAAGGAGAAAAGGATTAAGCTATTTCAGATAACAAACAGTAGAGTTTCTGAGTATGTTTCTGATTATGCTCCCATGTCACGGGAGATTGACCCTTCACATGTAAACTGCGCCTTGGCTGCTTAGAGACTGAAAATGGTTGCTTTTGGAAACAAAATTCTAGAGAAAGTAATGGCATGGCACTATGGATACTATCTTTTCATGACGCAAGATATCATGCATGTACTAACATTGTTTACGGAGTTAAATGTATCCACAATGCTAGATTTATGGTTCTCAAAAATTGAAAGACTAAATAGTGCGCACACAGCACTTTCTCCCTGTTACAAGAATGCACCCAACTTTTTGTAACAAGGAGATCCAACCAAAAGTAGAAGAGAAAATACTACTCTGCAAGCCTTCTTTTCTATCTTTACGTAGTTATTTAATTCCATGCAGCAGTTGATGAGAAGCAAAGAAAATAAGCCACCATATGGGACAGTGAGATAAAACCTCTACATAAAAGCCAGTAACAATGAACAATAAAATGAAAAAGAACAGAAGATAAAGAATGCTTCCTACATGGTGTAAGAATTTCTCTCCTGATGAACGATATAGCCGACATATTTCTCCAGGCACAAAAGGTGGTCCATATTCGTAGCTACGTGCACCACCTCCAAAAAAAGAAGATGCTAGCTCCTAAAAAAGGTAACAGAAGCCAGAATTGTTTCATTATGAAGCTTCACATTGGACAGTGGCCAAGTGATTGGAAACGACGCAACGTACCTCTGTAACTTTAGGAACTGTTGTTTGTTCAATGTAAACACAGAGTTGTGCAAGCATAAGTACCAAGACTGTTGGGACCTTATCAATTTGCACAGAATCCATAGTTGACTCTTGTGATTTCTTTTTGCTTCTCCCAGAGAGAACATGAAAATGCCCATCAAGTTTCTGGAAAAAATCTTGAAAACCTTCTTGTACCCAATCAATAATCAAATCTCTCAGCTTTACAAGCAACTCTATATTGCCATCTATCAGATGATGAAATTCCTGGAAGCAGCATGGCCAGAAATAGAACATTAAAACAGAGCATGAGAAAGTCATGAACTTTGATTGCGTGTTACATTTATGTTGCTTGACAACATGACAAAACGGATGGGTGTTCAGAAGTTCTGAAGCTTCCAAGTATGTACCTGCAGGAGATCTATGCATCCTTGGGATACTTTGATTTTGCTTGCCTCCATAGCAGTTTGCAGCTGTGACTCTTCTAACTTCTCATTTGATGTTGAATGTGTCCTAACCAGTGCCTCTGCTCACCCATGTACAACATATGTGAATTTTT